ACCAAAGGCAAACAAAGCGAAACTAGCAAACAACTACCTCTGAGAAACTGAACTGGAGGAGCTGACTTAATAGCAAGACTCATTCTGAAGCCACATTAATTAAGACGGTGTGGTGTTGACACAAGAAAGGAAAACAGTTTAACACAATAGTCAATAGAAAGCCTGGGGACAGACCCGCTCCTACAGGGACAGCTTCAGAGCTCTCAGCTGGGTTTCGGGCTGGAATGAAGCGGGGAGGCATTTTATGGCAATTTTCATGGGCTCTTTGGGACACTCTTTGGGACACATGGAACCTTGAGGCGGGGTGACAGACAGCAGTGGCCCCTGTGATATTTTCACCACAGGATCCTGTGTGTTCATGCAGGTTGAACCTGGCCAGGGGCATAGTCCCGCCGTTCAAAGCCTAAGTTAACTGCCATCCAGGGACAAAGCAAGTGTGTCTGGGACTCTAGAGCACTGCAGAGATGGTTCAGGGCCCACTGGAGAGAGCGTCACTAGCTCTTTAAAAATAGAAACTTTACGTAGCTGTTGACTTATTGTGAAAAAGGTCAGGTTCTTCTCGGTGGCTAAAAGTTCCGCATGGAGTATAAATAAATTTGTAGTCTCCATTTGGGAAGAATTTACTTAAGTCCCAGATGATTGAAAGTGACAGCTTAAGGAGGAAGGGAAGGAATGCAGTGAATGATCACTAACAATGATGCTTTTGTGGGGCAGAGCCCCAGGGCTGTCACCCATGGGTGCCTCTGCAGTCACAGCCCCGTTCCCTGGGCCTGTGCCTTCCGTAGTGCCACTGTGTCATAGTGAACGTCTCTGCAACAAGAATGGTCTTGCCTTCCAGGTGAAGGCTTTCATGCGCAGGCGAAGTGCCTGAAGCTTCTCCATCCACACCTTTGGGTCTGGAAGAAGCGCAACCCACACAGTTTCCCTGGGAGGGGTCACATTCGGCACCCACACCAGTGGCCACTTGGGATTTGGACAGTCCCCAGAGTTGAGCCGTGCTCTGTGGGAACAGAGCGCAGCCTTGGTGGCTGGAGCGGTCAAACTGACAGGGCGGAAAGGAAAAAATGTTCCCTGAGCACCTACTGTGTGTCGGGCGCTTAATGGGTCACACTCATGACCTCATTTGATTTTCAGAACCATTCTGTAAAATGGGTTTTATACTTTCCATTTTGCAGAAGAAACCGAGGCATAGAGGGATCAAGCAGCGGGTCCGAGGTTGCCCAACCAGTGGGAGGCTGTAAGAATTCACTAGGGTCGGAATTCCGCCTCAGCGGGTCTCCCAAGGAGCAGGGGAGGAAGACTGAGGAATAGGCCAGGGCGCCCCACTAAGCCATCGCACGCTTTGTGCACCCTGGTACCGCCCGTCACCAAGCTCCTTTCTTCCCCACCTCTGAGTCTTTGCCTCAAAATTCCGCCACGTAACAGAACTTCCCCTGTAGCGGAGGAAAAGGAATTCCCCCCCCTCCCCTCAGAGTTCTTCTGGCTGGTCTAGGAATCAAATTGACGTGAGGCAGATGAACAGGAGGAAATAACAAGCCTGTCACGTAGGGACATGCGGGGGCTCCGCAGAATATGGACTCAGCCCAGATCTGCCTACAGGCCCGTAGGCGGCTGTGCACGGAGCAGCGGGAGGCGGGCTGGGGCCACGAAGGGAAGGCAGGCAGTTCCCGGGTGGGCAAGAAGGAGCGGAGGCGGGAAACGTCCTCGCGGGCCATGGCCACGGCCACGGGAAACAGTGGGCACAGAAGGCGTCTACCAAACAGGCTCCGTCGGGTTCCTCTCTGTTCATGTCATGCTGACCTTTAAGCAGGTTTCTCCATCTGAGTTCCTTTAGGCAGGTAAGGGGGAGGGCCAAAGTTTCTTTCTGAGTCTTCTGTTTCTTAAAGATAACCAGCTTAAAAGAATCAGCTTCCCCCAAAGGCATGTCTTGGGGTGGCAAACCCTGCTTCCCCTCGCCTGTCGCAGCGTAAGGTTAGAGAGAGCTTTTGTTTTCCTGCTGCTTCTGCGCCAGCCCCTGTCCCAGGCGACGTCAGTAAATGGATGAATGGTCGTGTCTCTGTCCCCACTAAGGGCTTTCTAGACCACCAGCTGCCCCCCTGCTCCTGGGTCAGCCCTGTCCTCGCAGATGCCCCGAGAGCCGGGTCCTTGCAGGGTGGCAGGCAGGTGTGGACAGACAGCTTCTCAGCAGTGCTCCCAAGCAGAGGTGTCACATAGAGCTAAGCACAGGGACAGGGAGCCCAGCCGCCCGGGTTTGAGTCCAGGCCCTGCTTCCGTTTTCCTGCCTGTGAGAGGGAGACACAGCAGAAGCTGTCTCACGATTGTTGGCTGAGTTTGCTGATAATCTGCCCACAACAGTGTGTGGCACTGGTCAGTGCGCGGTGGACGCAGCACCGGGTACTCCTGCAAGGACACTGGGCACGGAGGGAGACCTGTGGGGTGTTTGATGCTTCTGGGATCGCCAGGCCTGGGCCGGAGCGGAGAGTTAGTAAATATCTCGGGACCACTGGCTACCCTGAGAGGACAGAGAGAGGACAGGGAGGTCGTTTCCTGTCACAGGGAAGGTGAGGGGACACATCATAGTCTCCGTCTTAAATCCAGCTTCTCCACCAAGACCTCCGTCTGGTCACCGTCATGGGCCCAGCTGCCCCTTCAGCCGCTTCGCAGTGATGGGGTGCGATAGCCTGATTATTATGATTTACAGTTTCATTGTATAACTAGTTGTATTTATTTCATAGTATGATGCATGATATGTTGTTACAAGTTTTTCCTTCCCAGGCCATTTGCGTTCCCTTTAAACCCAGCAGACCTTTTTATGGTCGGACGCAAACCCACAGGGCATAAATCTAGAGGCACAGAACAGTCAGACATGTGCTGACTGCAGGACTCAGATACCGTCTAATCTGTGCATCGCCAGATTGGTCAAGAACAATAGCTGATGTCTACAGACCTCCGGGGCTGTAGGTAGCTGCATTCTATTCCCAGCCTCAACTTACCCCACCCTATTCCCCTTTATAATCCCGTCCCTTGCACTGTGCTGTGAGACAGCTTTTGGATGCTTGTAAGCCCCCTGTCTTCTTGGTTGGCTGGCCTTCTATGACTCAACCTGCCTCTGTTGAATTGAACCCACCTGGGGTTTCCCAGTAGCAACAGGGACTTGCTTGAGCATGTTCTTGTCCATGGAAAACTCGTCCTCGCTGCTCATACAGTGTTTTACTCACTTGTTTCGTTTACTGTCTATTTTCCCCACTAGAATGTGAGCCCCATGAGGGCAGAACTTACTGTTTTGTTCACTGCCCTGTTGCTTTGGCCTAAAATGGTGCCTGGCACTTAGTAGGTGTTCAACAAATCTGTGTTGGAGCAGGGAATGCATGTGCCCCACGTAATGGCTATCCACACGCTTTAATGTAAGTACTTGTTCAAATAAGAGAAGTGGTGTCCACTTTCCCAATAGGCAGGCAGGGCAGAGAGAGGGGTTGCAGGGGTCACAGGGGGCTGGCTGGGATCGGGGATTGTGTGTGCTGGTGGCCTGGTGGAGAAGGGATGTGGGAAGGGCCAGCCCAGGCCACGCAGTCAGGGCAGAGCTCACAGTGCAGTACCCCCCTGCCGGCCCTCACCCTGGCTTCACCCCACTCGGTCTTACCCGTGCCCAGCTGTCCACGTCCACGTCTAGCCACGAGCCTACAGACAGTCCCCACTGTCTGCAGGACAGAGTTCCCAGCCTTTCCCCTGGCATCCAAAGCCTCTATCCTTTGACCTCCGAAACCTCTCCGGCATCGCCTTCCGCTGTGACCCGCATGGACTTGCTGTCGCTCGACACTGGTCTCGCGCGCGTTACCAGAACATGCCTTTTTCTTTCTCTTCCCAGCGGCCTGTGCCCGTCGCGTATTTTCCCCACCCTCCCCAGATTGTCTCAGCCTCTTTCCCCTTGCAGAAGATCTACCTGGTTTTCAAGACTCAACTCAGGTCTCACCTGCTTGGGGACATTTTGGGGATATGACTTCTTCCTAGACGTGCACCACCCACAGCCACCCTCTCGGTCCTGGCACCGACTTTGTTGTGGGGACAGGTATTGTCACACTCATGGTATACACAGGGGTGGGCAAAGTAGGTTTATAATACAGTAATTAATAAATAATAAAACAAGAATAAACTCTGTGTTTTGCATGCTCTCAACTGGAAACCTCCTTTTTCTGACCCCTGTACACGCAGCTAAGTTGACATCCCTCTGTGTTTCCCCACCAGTTGCAGGCGGGTGTCCCTTTAAGACTGCAGGGAAGGGACGCGTGGGGACATGGGCTTCCGACCTCTGAAGGAGGCTGCACTGCAACCAGATACTGCCCCCTAGTTCATCCCACCAACCAGGCGTTTGGCCCACACCCATTGCCACCTGACCACATTAACCCTCCACTTCCTTTGACCATGGGGTTGCCCTTGGACGTGTGATGGCCCATGTTGGACTGGCCCGTTTGTGCACTGGCCCATCCTCGCACCCGCCTCCGCATGGAGCGTGGTACCGAGTTCCTGTCCTGGCACCCGTCTCCTCTCAGGGTGATCTGCCCCTGACTCCTGGGCAATGACGTTTTAGGGCGACCTCACTTTGTAGTGCTGACATGGGCCACTGTGAAGGGAGAGACTCACTGGTTGCTCCTGATGCCTTTGTGCCTTTTCCTGGGACCCTTACCCAAAGGACACTCGGGAAAGACCCACCGCAGTGACGGTGGTAGTGGACATGTCCCAGGAGGACAGAACATGGAACTATTCTCATTGTCAACTTGCTGACCACAGCTGACACCAGATCCAAGGAGACTGTAGAGTGAATGGGTGAAAGGGACCCGCCCCCCCTTTGTACCATTGCTCCTCAGTGTTCACAAAACCCAAGGTCAACTTTATTAGGAGCTGTGCACACAGGTGAACGGGTCCTCCCAGCAGCCCACGGTGCAGGCTGGCGATAGCCTTCCTGTTAATTCGCAGGGGACAGACAAGACACCCCCTGGCCTCCTGCCACGTCACCCTCCAGCAGGGTTGACGACTTTTCCCAGGAAGAGTAAGCTCTGGGTGGTCACCTCCCAAAGGAGCACCAGGAAGGGCCTGTTGAAATGGGCGTGTGGGGCTGAGGTCACGTTCAGAGACTGGGGCTGGGACAGGAGGCCAGACGCAACCCCTGCCTTGGTTCCCCGCTCGTTCATGTCCAGTGCTGCTTTGTGTGACACCTGGAAGGAGAAGAGAGGGCAGGGACAGCTCAGGACACTCCAAGGGACAGAGTCCACGTCGTGTGACGCTAAGGAGAGGGAGGCAGGCCTCTCTCATCAAGGCCTCACAGGCCCCGTCTTCCAAGAAAGGAGCTCCAGCCTTGGCTTTATTTTTTCCCCTCTCCCCGCCTTTCCCTGTCTCTCATGGGAGGGTACGCCTGCTCCTTGGTGGGGGTACCAACGACCCTGAGCATGGCTGAGGGCCGCCTGAGCATGGACTCAACAGCAATGTTTTGGTACAGGCCCACGAGCCGCATGTCCTCTCTCTAAGCCTCAGCTTTCTCATCTCTAAAATGGCCTGCTCAGCCCGATTGGTGGTTAAGATGCACTCGGTGGAACCGGCCCTCTTCTTGCCATAGTTACAACAAAGGCAGGTAGGGTTTCACTGCTGTCCCAGGGATGTGAGGAATCAAAGCAAAGCTGTCCCACACCTGGGGAAATGTGGCTTCATGGATGGCCCCGAATACGTGCCTATCTATCTGGGCCGTGTCCTGTGTGAAGAAGAAAGAGAGGTGGAGAGGGGGCTGCCCGTGGAAAGGAGCCTTAAGGATCGTGTATTAAAGAACCAGTATCGGAAGAAAAAGGGGAACTTATGCCAGAAGGGAGTAGTCGCCGCTCCCACGCATACGCCCACGGCCGCCTCCTTACCCTGGAGATGGTTCTGTTGAGCTGTCCAGTGGTTCCCAACAAGTCAGCTTCTAAGTTGAATACGTTGGTGAGACCAATGTGGGGAAGTATTTCTTCCAGGTTGTATGTTCCAGAAATGGAAAACCTTGGCAGATGCAAGTCCAGCAGGCTGGAGAGAGAGTCAGACAGAGAGGGAGCGCTGTTTCGTTCCCTTGCTGCTCCTGCCCTAGAGGTCGGCAGCCTGTGCTTCGGGAGGGAAAGTGTTTCCCAGAGTGTGGGGATCCAGTCTTCCCACGACACTACCTGCTCTGCCAGAATGTTCCACAGCCCAAACAGTTTTTACAAAGCATAACTGATTGAATCCACATGATAACCATGTAAGGTAAACACTGGTAACCTTCTCCTACCTCCATGTCCAATTCATCAGCAAGTTCTGCTGGCCTGCCTCCTAAACTACAGCATTCCCGCTGTACTCGATCTGGGGCACTGGGCAGGCATCTCCTGGTCGTACAGGAACCTGTGTGTTTCCTTCAGGGGCATCATAGGGATGGGGAGGGAGGTCCTCTCGCTCACGAAGAAGCTCTCTGGCTTCTGGGTCTGGTGGTGATGGAAGGGATGCTTCCACTTGGCTTAGGACACCAAACATCCCATGGCCCCTTCTCTTCAGACTTGACAGACCTCGTGTGACCTCTTCACAGACCCCTTCAGACCTCTTGTGTCTGGATCTGAGAAGACCCTGGCACGGCCATCTATCTCCATCTTTGAGGGAGAGCTTTCTAGATGCCTGGCACTGGGCTGGGGTTTTTACAAAGCATAACTGATCGAATCCACATGATAACCATGTAAGGTAAACACTGGTAACCTTCTCCTACCTCCATGTCCAATTCATCAGCAAGTTCTGCTGGCCTACCTCCTAAACTACAGCATTCCCGCTGTACTCGATCTGGGGCACTGGGCAGGCATCTCCTGGTCGTACAGGAACCTGTGTGTTTCCTTCAGGGGCATCATAGGGATGGGGAGGGAGGTCCTCTCGCTCACGAAGAAGCTCTCTGGCTTCTGGGTCTGGTGGTGATGGAAGGGATGCTTCCACTTGGCTTAGGACACCAAACATCCCATGGCCCCTTCTCTTCAGACTTGACAGACCTCGTGTGACCTCTTCACAGACCCCTTCAGACCTCTTGTGTCTGGATCTGAGAAGACCCTGGCACGGCCATCTATCTCCATCTTTGAGGGAGAGCTTTCTAGATGCCTGGCACTGGGCTGGGGTTTTTACAAAGCATAACTGATCGAATCCACATGATAACCATGTAAGGTAAACACTGGTAACCTTCTCCTACCTCCATGTCCAATTCATCAGCAAGTTCTGCTGGCCTACCTCCTAAACTACATCCTAAATCCATCTATTGGCAACCCCCCAGTGCAGGCCACCATCATCTCTCCCCTGAGTGAACTTCAGGGATCTGATGAGAGATGGTGGACGTGAAGTGTGGGCACAAGTCACTAGAATGCCTCTCTCTCCTGTTCCTGGCCTGCCTTGCCCAAGATCACAGCTGGTTAGCCTAACCTAGGGCTGGACTCTTGCCATTGGAGTTTATTGAGACCTGCTCAGGTCTTGACCAAGGTCTGCCTGGGTCCTTCCGCGTGTCACTCACCTGGGCAGGAGCCGCTGGCTCCATCTCCTCAGGGTCTCAGGCTGCAGAGTGGCCTCCACCTGCTCCATTTTCCCCGGGTCCGGGAGGACCAGCAGGGCCAGCGCATTCCCGCTGTACTCGATCTGGAGCACTGTGCAGGCCAGCTCCTGGTCGTACAGGAACCTGTGCATTTCCTTCTGGTGCATCAGAGGGATGGGGAGGGAGGTCCTCTCGCTCACGAAGAAGCTCTCTGGCTTCTGGGTCTGGTAGTGATGGAAGGGATGCTTCCACTTGGCTTAGGACACAAAACCGTAAAACCGTGAGGACACGCTCCACAAGAGCAAGTCTGCGCGGACGTACTCTACACCACACTGCTGTGGTGACTTCCTCTTGAGGGTGTAAGTCTAAGGCACAGATACGGAATCAGGAGGCCAGAATTTAGGTCTGATTCAGCCACCAAAACAAGTCCCCAGAGTGTGAGCTCTAATGGCCTGTGATTTCATTTCATGTCAGAGCAATTTAGCTTTCAAGAGGCGAAAATGTAGTATTTTCATCTACCTACTAAGCATGTGTGAGGCATTATCTCTTTGTATCTTCATCAAAATTAATGGTAAACAAGTATTATAATCTTCATGTCAGAGGTGAGGAATTGAGTCTGTGAATTATGGAAGCGTTCTCAATGTGCAGACCCACTCAGTGCTAGCGCAGGGGTTGGGGCTGACTCTGCTCTGAGGCTCAGGCTCTTGGCAAACACCCAAGAGCAGTCTCTACCCAGCTGCCTTCTATGCCTTCAACATAGAAGGTGGAGGGCCACCCTCCCCCTCCCGACTCCCTAATATTCAAACTGGAAAAAGAAGGAATTTAGTTAATAAACTGTAATATATAATGCAAAAGCCCAGTAAGGCACCGTCGGAAATGCAGAATTTGGTGGTCACGGTCTTGTCCACGAGCGTGGTATCGCCTCTGTTTCTATTTATAATCTCCACCCCTAGCCCATCCTGACTTGGCCTCTCAAAAGCACTGGTCTTGGAGAGGAGGGGCTGGCTCCTCCTGTCCCCCTGCCCGCACCCAACCAGTGACCAAGTACCGCTGATGCTATCTCCAAAGCCACAACTCTATCCAAGCCCTCATCTTACTTTGCTCCGCTTCTAGAACATCCTAACTTGTCTCTGCTGTCTGACCCTTACTGCCCGCAAACCATTTTCCAAAGTGCAGCCAGACTAGTCTTTCCCGAGCCAGATGTGATTATGTCACTCAGTGCTTCCACCTGTTGGGTAACCCTGGGGTCCCACAGATAGAGTCTGGGATTCTCCGTGGAGCTCCTGCGTGTCTTTCCACGGCCGCTCTGGGCCTTGCCCCAGGCACTCCCCTGTTGGTTCTGTTCCAGCCAAACCGAATGTGTTTAATTTCCTCGAGAAGGCGATGGTATCTTCAGCTTGGACTTTTACATGTTCTGTTGTTTCCACCTGAGACCCCTTCTCTCACCTTTCCTGCAGCCTCTTTGCCTCAGCTTTCATGCCCAACTTAGATTCCCTGTCTCCCAGGGAGCCTCCCCTCGCTCCCAAGTCTGGGTGAGTGTCTCCGTCAGAGCCCGGGGCACCCACACCCCCTCATGCAGAGCACCATTTTCCCACGGAGTTGTACCTGCCTTTTACTTATTTAACTCACGTGCGACTGTGGAAAGACTGTCTCTTATTCATAACTCTCCCCAAGTCCTCTCACCCCAGTCTTCACCGTGGGAAAAGCATCAGACAAATCCTGAGGGGCTTTCTGCACAATACCCGGCCAGTTCCCCCCAAGCCGCCACGGTCATTAAACCCAGGGGAGTCAGAAACTGTCACAGCCAAAAGGGGCCGAAACTAACGTGACAACTAAATGTAGTGTAGATGGTGGATGGGGTCGCGGAACAGGAAAAAACAAAAAAAATTAGGTGAAAACTAAAGAATATCTGAATCAAGTGTGAACTTGCATTTCAAAGAATGGAGGAGCTCATGTTCCTAGCAGCATATATTAAGATATATGCTACTAATTCAGGAAATAACTGAAGTAAAAAAAGATAAGGGCCCTAAAAGGGTGAAATGTTCAATGCAACAGTCAAAATTATCTACATAAGTTAAGATCTGGTAATGACAGTAAAATATGTGAAATAATATGTAGAGAATGAGCACATCGCTGTAAAAAATTAGAACACCTTGAGTGTATTAGAGATGATTATGTACATACACCTAATGTGCTCGTGGTGTGAACACATGGGTGAGAAGGATACTCGCCAGCCCTAGGACAGTGCTGGCTTCTGGGAGGGACAGACAGAAGGAAATGGGGCCAGGAAAGCATTAAAAAGAAATTGAACTGTATCTGCAACGTCGTATTAAAAAAATCTGAAGGAAATGGTAAAATGTTAATATGTGCTCATTCTTGGTGGGGGGAGTGTATAGTGGTTTTATATTCTTCTTTGTATATTTCTGTATGTTTGAAATCAATAATAATAATATAAAAAATAAGATATTTTTCTAAAAGTGAATTATTAATAGAAAAGTGAGATCGAGTGCATAACAAAACTTCAGAATAAAAATAAAATAGAAAAAAACATGGCAAGCCCAGCCGGTGGCTCAGCAGTTGAGCATCAACTTAGGACCCAGGAGATCGCAGTTCGATTCCCGGTCAGGGCACATGCCCGGGTTGCGGGCTCGATCCCCCGTGGGGGGTGTGCAGGAGGCAGCCGATCAGTGACTCTCTCATCGTTGATGTTTCTCTCTCTCCCTCTCCCTTCCTCTCTTTGAAGTCAATAAAGATACTTAAAAAAAATTTAAAACCATGGCAAGAGAAAGCACATATTGATACATCAGAAGCCATAGTATAGCACATTATTTAAATACACAGCGTCACCGCCTCAGCTGCAAGACTTAGGATGGGGCCCTTCTCG